ATATCTTGGGCTAGTTTGCAAAGTCTCTCGCTATTTGGCAAAATATCCTGCTATTTTTCTGGTGCGTCTTCACCAGCCCGAAGACTCGCACTATAGGCGAACGCTGAGCAAAATATCTCGAGCTCGAGTTTCAAGTCTTTAAGTCAAGTGTCGACCTGATAAAGACGCGATTTGTAACTTCAGGATTATTTCCCAAATCAAAAATAGCGGGCTACTTGGCAATCTCAAGCTGATGAGGACAGGCCTAAAACGTCACCCGCCCGCCCACATGAAGGGGCCAAGTTTCTGAACTCACAGTCGAGGTTCACTTCCAAAGTGCATTGTCCCAAAGAACTCATCAGGGACAGGGGAATTAAAGTTTGATGATGGGGGACTAGGGAGACATTACAGAAAATGTGGACGGTATGTATATGGGAGGATTCCGTTTACACTGGGAAATCTTCGTAAATACTCGCTCGATAAGGAATAACACAATCATGTAGCAACTGTTGTGGTGATACTTATAGGTACATTTTCGCAAGCCTAATGCGAGTTGAACCCTTTTTGCTATTTGGAGTTAACTTTGATCTGCAATCATAAAATTTACAAATAGACGATGGCCAACTTCTTGGTATAAAAATGAGATTGTAGTGAACAGATAATACGTGAAACATTTATTGGTGTATTGATAAAGATCTGAGTTTAGCTTACTATTTATAAATGTTTGATATTTTGTGAAGTTGTTTTGTTGCGATTACTGATGTAACATCATACATCAATACAAAAAAAAAAAAAATGAGCTTCCTATTCTGTGAAATTATACAATTATGAAAATGCTGATTTAAACTAAACCTAAAATAAAAGTTATATAACTCCCATTTACAAATCAGGCTTGACAGAACAGAACTCCAGTGTAAAGCCCCCCCCCCCCCCCAAATCTCCAAATTTCTTTTTCTAGACTCCTAAAAGTCCTTTTCCATTTTATGTAAAAATGGATTCAAAGCACACAGAGACCCCCCCCCCCACCTATAAAATTAGTATGGAGTCTTGCTTAAGTGATGGGGTGCTATAAGCGCTGTCCCTATCACTTTTCTTCTACCGCCCATGGATCGTATCATCCTTCTTCGCCCACTAGGGCTCTACCAGCATCCCTGCTAGCATCCCCTCTGAGTCTCTTGTAATGAAACACGGGAGATCGACAGGGAACGAAGATGCCTCTTGCATTCTTCTTCACGGCCCACGAGGGAGAGGGAAGGGACATGGGCTGCATTTCTCATCGTGAGTTACGCATCAAGATATTCTGATGGTGAACTGAAATCTTACAGCCAGGATCAGATCTTGGTTGAATGCGCACCAAGGAGTTCAAAAGACCAGTTTACTAACATACGGGATATTCAAATTTTAATATGGATGTTTCTTTCCTGGGGAACTGGTGAGGAGGTATTTCATTAACCTGTTATTAATGAATAAACTACAATACTTGGAATCCAATATGCATAGTAACGTGTTCCTATGTCTGGCTAGCCTTGGGCTAGCCTTGGACAAGCTTTCAGGTTTAAAAATTATGCATCAAATTTGAATATGTTAGTAAATCGGTCTATTTAAACCTAATCGTGAGCCTTCATATACGGGTATAAACTACAGAGGTCATCAGAACTTGTTCTCAGTTTAAAGATAAACTTGAGTACTGGTATTGCGATTGCATTGTGAAAGAAAAGGTGTGGAATGGATCAGAAAAGTTGATCATATAGCATGTAAGTAATGGTGTGTAATGCAAGGTTCTAGAGTCATCAAAATCATCATAAATTTGGCAGAGTCTTGGTAAAGTAACAATCACTTACACAGATAGATGTATATGGGACAACAAACATGGTGTCGGGGCTAGTACTACCCTGATTTCCTTATCTTTCTATGCTCATTACTCAGCCAGTATACATTTTCTTCCAAAATTGTTTGGCACATGACATTTATTTGTAATCTTGAACATTCAGTGTAAGTTTCGTTAGATTCTGTGAGAATTCATTTTCTTTTTTTACCAGAACTCAACAAAATCTTATTCCTCTGCAATCATAATTATGTAATGCACACTGAATAATGCAGATAATTAATATATAAAAGCTACACCCTATCATATTTGGGATAATCCACTTTCAGTGCTCAAAGCTCCACAACGTCGGTGGAGGGAGGATCGAGTGCAAAGTGGAGAATGCACAATATGAATATGAATATTGTATATTAAGGAAACTGGATATCAATTGGAACACCAGTTTCCGATTGGTCTAATTGTGAAAATTAAAAAAACATCTGAGTTCTGGGCACATTTTTAAAGCAAACTATGAATGCACTCTGAATGACACTGTGGATAACGTAATGAAGTGGTAGGCACATTTAAAAATGCCCCAAGGAATGAGGAGGCTCATAAGAGGTGATAAGGAAATGATAGAAAGATGGAGAAGTAGAGAGAGGTTGCTGAATATAGAGAGAACCGAAGGAAGAGAAATACAGAGTGAAAGGGGAGAGATACTGAAACAGTTGAAGATAGGGATGGAGAGACAGAGAGAGAAGGGGGAGAGGTCAACAAAAAGACAAACATTGAGAGAGAAGGAGCAAAATATATAGAAAGAGAGATTAAAGAGAATGAAAGAAGATAGGATGACAGGGATATAGAGTAAGAGATAAAGAAAAAGACAGACAGCTATAGAAAGAGAGAGAGAGTGAGAGGGGGGTGGAGTGGGGCAGAGAGAGCGGTAAAGAAGCAGCTAGGGGAGTAAGAGAAAGAGATAGAGAAAGAGAGAGAGAAGAAGGCAGAGTGTAAGTCAGGGATGGAGTGGGGCAGTGGGAGGGGTAAAGAGGCAGCTGGAAGAGAGAGAGAGAGAGAGAGAGAGAGAGAGAAAAGGAGAGAGAGAGAGAGAGAGAGGGGAGAGAGAGAGAGAGAGAGAGAGAGGTGGAGTGGTGCAGAGAGAGGGGTAAAGAAGCAGCTAGGGGGAGTAAGAGAAAGAGATAGAGATAGAGAAAGAGAGAGAGAAGAAGGCAGGGTGAAAGACAGGGATGGAGTGGGGCAGTGGGGGGGGGGGGGGGGGGGGGGGGGGGTAAAGAGGCAGCTGGAAGAGAGAGAGAGAGAGAGAGAGAGAGAGAGATGGAGAGAGAGATGGAGAGAGAGAGAGAGATAGAGGAGAGAGAGACAAGAGAGGTAAGCTACAGAGACATGAGTGTGATGAAAAGAGATAAACATAGTGCACATACATGGCTAACAAAATACACAAGCTGACCTACTTCTCCGGTGCAGTTGAGAACGGCTTACCTATATACGCACCACATGATTTACAAGAGGATAATGTATAGCCCATAGAGGTAAGCACAAATGTTGCGTGACGAAGTTCAAGATTCCCCGAATGTTTGGGATACAAACTACTTTCCTCTGACACACTTCTCTCCGAGACAGCTAGCCCCCTCCCCTTCGCTTTGACCCCGGCTCCCAAACCTCGTTGAAAGAGAAGCAAGTCAGGAGAATCTTTTCATACTACATCTGCTAATCTATTTTTATTTTAAGCTCTTGATTTTCTTCACAAGTATATATATTCTCCTATGTAGTTTGAAATAGAATTACATTTTTTTTAATGTCAAAAATGAGTCTAGTTTCAATACATTACGCGAAATAACAAAACGTTTTCCAGGGGTGATAGTGAGGACTAAAAAACATGCCCTGTTTAATAATTTCAAAAGATGCCAATCAGAACACTGACGCACTGAGGAAAAACACAGGAAAAGAGAGAAATTATGTTTTGGAAAGCCTTAGAAGAGCTCTGGTGAAGAAGAAAAAATAGAATATCTAAAAGAACTGCTACCAGAAAATCTCACTTTAAAGTTATAGACCAGTTTTGGATACGCCCCCCTCTCAAAAACTGAAATGGAAGCTCTTGCTACCAATCATGTGAAAGAATATGTTTGGACTAATACGTGATGATACAAATTTTGCCGGGAAACCACCTACTAATTGATATATTTGGTAAATGATCATATCGAACCGGCCTGGATAGAATCACGAATCCACTTCAACATTGAACATTAGGGCATACATGTATATTACTGCTTTTATGCAAATTTAGGTTGAAGTATTGCCATCTAAACCTCTGAAGGCAATATTTAAACAATATCGAAAGGACATTTTGCATCCAAAACCCTTGAACCGCAATTCTACCACTATCGGTCTATATCTTTAAAGCAATAGCAGATCCCGGAAAAAAAGCTCCCTTGGAAAAAAGAGATGTTTATTCTAATATAAGATTAATCAAAAATAGCTGAGAGGGACACTGCAGCATTTAGCTTGGGTATGACGTAGCAGCACACTTCTATTTCCTTTGACACTGAGAAACACATACACCTCATAAATAGTCATCATAAAACAGACCATCAAAAAAAGCTATGTAGATATGGATGTAAAAAAGTCTTGTAAATGGATAGATTTACGAGGGAGCCATGGGGAAACATATGAATGCCGGTGCCCAAGATGGGATGGGGAGAGGATAGAGGGAGGATTCCCTGCATGTTTGGGATGAATGCTGCGTTCAGGTTGACTGGAGCCTTGTTCACATTAAGATTGCCAACATCAAGGAAATTATCAAAAAAGAGAAAAGCAAAAATGTCTTTTTCGTGGAAAATATGACCTTAACAAAAATGCACATTCATGCATTGTCTCTCTCTCTCTCTCTCTCTCTCTCTCTCTCTCTGTGTATCCAAATAAAAGTAATTGTCATATGCCATCAAGGTAACCTTATGGAAGGAATACTCCCTAGGGAGTGGAGATGGTGCATATTGTGCGGGAATGAATCCAATGACCTGAGTAATAACATCTGTAAAGCACTTAGAGTTGGTATTTCAAATTAAGCTGTATATAAATCCAGATTATTGTCGTCGTCGTCGTCGTCGCCGTCGTCATCGTCGTCGTCGTCGTCGTCGTCGTCGTCATCATCATCATCATCATCATCATCATCATCATCATCATCATCATTATCATTACTCACCCTGCAAGCATCTCATAGATGAGGATACCCAACGCCCACCAATCTACTGCCTTCCCGTGCCCTTTACTTTGGATGATCTCTGGTGCTAAGTATTCCGGCGTCCCACATAATGTCCACGTCCTGTAGTATGGGAAAAATCAGTGAAAATAGGATGACTTCTACATGAAGATGTTAATAATAAATTTACATAGCACATGTGCAGTTAACATTAACCCTTTAGTAACTAAACCTCACGGAACCGCCCCTCCTTTTACTCACTGAACCACCCGAAATCGCCCATCCGTTTTCATAAGTTTTTAATGCTCTGTAGGATACGTTCTAGGTCTATAGCTACCGTGATAATGTTATTCGTGCATACTCCTTATGATGTCTACAGTAGGATTCTGCCACATAGAAAAATAGCCCACATTTTTTTCGTTCAGAACTATGCCAAAATGAGAGCAATATTGCAACATCTACTAGTGAGTAACAAAATCTGTAGTTGCTAATGGGTTGACACCTTAATTATCCATACCCCTTGTAAATTTGGTGTTACTTTTGTGTTTTTCATAACTCAAGAATCAAAGGTGGACTGGTTGAAGAAGGGCCTTTGTTGAATACAATTAAATGTTTGGGAGTACCGTAGATCATCATGTGCACTGTACTGTGTGAAAAAAGTTGACTGCGGCATTGCAGTCCCATGTTTGTTCCATTGGACGAGCAAAGCTGGTAAAAGGTTAAACTTGTATCTTCATCTCCTTCAAGTGATCTCAGTTGGCCCTAGCTGCAGACACAATCTCTGGCTACGCTTACCTGTTATCCACCAGCTTCTTGGCAAACCCAAAGTCGGTGAGCTTCACGTGACCTTCTGAATCCAATAATATATTCTCTGGTTTTAAGTCTCTGTATACAATGGTTTCTTTGTGTAAATAGTCTATTGCAGATATGATTTCCATGGCGTAGAATTTGCCCGTGTCGTTGTTGAAGCGGCCACTGTTCCGGAGGTATGTAAAGAGTTCGCCCCCACAGGCATATTCGAGGAGCATGTAGAGGAACGTGTCGGTGTGGTGCGTCCAATGTCTGAAGGTGGAAAGAAAAAATAAACATATTGATTAAATGATCTACATGCATGTTAAATGGTTTAAATTAAAACCGATAATATTTACGACATGGAAATTCTGCATAAATTTGGTGCTGATGGCCATTTTTTAAACCACTCACAAGAGGAAAATGTTTGTTTCTAACTATTCAAGCTAAATCTCAGTAGATAAAAATTACACACTTCATGAATTTAAGTTAATTGCAAATACATAAATTCTTATCTTTGCAATAAAGTTTGTTATAAAGTAACCATTTACAATCAATAAAATTGCATAAGCTTTCAAAACATATGCAGATAGATTCTATCCACAATGGCTTTACCATACAGAGGCACATTAATTAATACCATTGTTGCCAGGACTTCTGGGAAGAAGACTTTATATCAATAACATTTATGTCCATGTGCCAATCTCCAGCCAGGTGTAGTAAATGGGAACCTGGTAGGAATTTATCACTTGAATGCTTTGAGTGCCTTGGTTGGGGCAGCCAGGGTAATAATACTACTTTGAAGGTGAACTGAGCATCCCATGGTATGAATATGTACGCAATATAAATGTAGCTTAAGAAGCTTTAATTATCATTATTGGCAGAGGCCAACAACATAGCATGGCTTTTACTTTTGCTAGCAATTTGGGGAATAGTTGAGCGACAACTCAAAATGATGATGATTGTTGTTATTAGAAGATGATGACCTCTTTAAAAAAAAAACAATACAAATCAATGCAATTTTTACACTGTGAAACTCAAACAAAAGTTTTGAACATCCAAATGCAACTTTATTTCTGAGTTTAAGGCAAATGGGGATTTAACAAAAGAATTATTTCTGCAGTAAGAGTAATACATATTCATTACTTATATTTTTGTGTACGTTTTCCAAAGCTGAACTATTCATATATATAGCTCCAGTGTATTTTTCGTCAACAAAGACAATGTAAACTGTGAACTTTGATTATACCAGCTCCGCTGATAAAGAAAACAGACAACAGCTAGATCTACCTGTGACACGTATTGATGCATGCACAACAGATCAAATTCATAACGGATCACATCATTAAGAACATCATGCGGCATGTTCATGCTCCATGTGGTTTGCTACCGGTTTTAGATTTACACCCTTCACAATGGCAAAGAGCCTCACCAGGAGTTTGGCCCCCTTCCGCCAATTAAATGCCAGTTTAATTAGCCGCATAGCTGGACTGTCAAGCAGCCTTAACTCGTGCATTAACAACTGGCTTCGTTATCACCAGCATTTGGTTGCGTCTCGTCTTGGGAAGTGTCGTCGCTGACGGATCCCAAATACTTTTGTTGAGATCCCATCGAGAGGGAGTAGGTAGACATAACAGAACCCGAGATCACTAATTGGGTAATAATTTGATGCTATCATCTTTAATCACATTTAGGTTCAAAAGTTTAAATTAAATATTTTTCAGTGTGATTCTAATCATCCTATACATATGATAGATGCCAAAGGGTCACTTTTCGGGTGAAGATGGAATTTCTGTTAAAATATATCTTCTTCATGAATTACCGGTATCCTTTTTTTTCATGAAGTTTGGTATCTTTTTTTTAGGTGACAATGTGACAGGTTTGCTTTTCTTTAAACTAAAGACTACAATCCCTTTGACTCCATTTTTGATAGATAATGTTATGAAAAGTTGCATTTTCATTTATTAATGTCTTTATTCTTTTATTTTTCAACTATTGAATCATTCGTTCATGCATTTAGTTCATTCACTTATTTATTCATTCATACATTCATGAAAATATCATTCAATCATTTATCCAATTATTTATTTGCTAACTTATTCATGTACTTGAATATATTTATCTTGTCATGAGTTTATTGAGTATTCATTCATTTATTCATACAGTCATTCCTTTCTTTATCCATGTATTCAATTATTCATATTCATTGTGTTTATTTATTAATTAATTAATATTACTAAAGAATCAACTCCTGGATAATCCTAAAGATGGTAATTTTTTTTTTAAATAAAAATTGTATAGACAACTCAAAATGGTGAAGTTCAGTTCACTTTCCAATGTTATTCATTTGGGCAGCAACATCTCCCTCCTAGCATTTGCAGAGCCAAAAAATAACAACATTTATAGGCAAATATAACAAGTTTATATAAATTGTTTTGATATGAATCATAAATTCAACAGATCATAGGTGCAAAACGGTCTAACCGAAATATTCAACTGAAAGGAATATAGTCAATAAAGTAGATGACTCCTCAATAGCTGTACTACATATAATACCGGTATACGCTCTCTCTCTCTCTCTCTTGTTTTTCAAATGACCTTGTATCTGTACAATACTGACGTAATGCAAAACCACAGCACTATAATTACATGCAAAAGAGTATAGTTGGCCCATATCTACAGTATAATACACGTATCATGAATTATAAAACAAAAACATATCATATGTCAAATTCTGGTTCTGGCATTAAAAAATCTTCAATAATAGCAAGACTATTGCTTTCCCCTGAGTAGCCTTGGAAACGACACTAACAAATCATCTCAGCTGTAGCACCCATAGCGCACGTGTACGCTGTGTGTGTGTGACCTATTATACCAAGTTCAGAGGAGTTCTCTCCAGAGGGGGGTTGGGCCATGGATGGAAGACCCATGTGCAGAGGGGAATCACATGCACACTTGGACTGTAACAAGTGCCAAATACAAACTGGGGGTCCACATGACGGGCCGAGTGCAAGTCCTATTGTACGGCCCAACAAAACAACAATAACGGGACCTTCCAAAGACTATTATTGATCCCCATTTCAAGGGGAGAAGTCACTTTAGTAGTCTATAATAAAACACTGGTTTCAAATTCATGTTAAACTTTTTTTTAAGCTAGTGTTTCATACCCATGAGTACAGATCATGTTCGAAGTTGCTACAACATGTCAACATGAACATGACCACACCTATATTGCATAGACTCTACCGGTATTTAACAATTGGTTGCATGCTAGACAGAAACTTCTGCCTAATTTGTTGGGTTTCAGGTCACGAACGAATATTTTGTAACACTACAATAGCTAGAAATTACAGGCATTTACAATACCGTTACCTGATATATGGGTACCTGATATATGGGTACTTGATATGCTTGAGTGCTAGTTACTTTGGCAGCTTAGCTACAACCAGGGTAATATGTGTACAGCGCCATGAGCGTCAGAGCCTGGTGGATACCGGCGCTATATAAATATCTATAATTATTATTATTATTTATACCTACTGAAGTCTTTACCCTTGTATACATGCATGCCAAGAAGTATTTTCAAAATAATTATTATCCTATCTTTTCAAAAGCCTTCTCTGTTTTCTCAATTGAGAAACTCCCATAATATCTGTCTGCCACTAAGTCTGATCCTTACTCATTATATACATAATACTACCTGTAAAAGTACTAACATATAGGCCTAGGTGTGTACTAAGTATGTAATATAATCCATGACCATAGTGCCAAGCGCCTTTTGGTTTCACAAATATAATAAAAGAAAAGGGAATATTACTCCAATTGCGAGCCAGAAATCTGATCAATATGGAGAGTGAAAATGAATCAGGCATTTTGTTTTCCTTCTTTTTTATGCATCGTGCTGAAATACATATATTAATGAAACAATAAATGATCATTACTAATAGATGATTTACAGTGGGCTTGCGGGTGCACAATGTGAGAGAGAAGGAGGATTGAGGAGTCCTCTCTCACATGGTGCACCCGCAAGCCTACTGTATATCTACATCCCCATGCAAGCCGACACTTACAAGCAGCATCTAATAGATGATTATTATTATTTTCTTTTGAAGAAAAAAAAGACAAACAAACGAGCATTGCACCGAGGCTCAAGTCATTGATATGCAGTCTAATGTAAGAGACACAAGGTATCATAGTGATTCTCCTCGAAAAGAAAAGAAAATTAAAGCATTTCTCAGGCTATTCTAATATAAGCCTGTGGAAACTTAGTATGTTTTGATTAAAAGAGAAATCACATCTAAAATATGATTTTTTTTTAAAACAAGGTTTTATATTGAAATATCTACTGACAAAGTTGATATACATAATATAATGGATTACACTCCATTGTACAAAGGTTACAGGGATTTATTTTAATGGACTTAAAAAAAAAACTTTTACAATTGGAGGAGGGAGAGGTACCGGTATTGATATTGTTAAATTTAGAGGGGCTTTGGATCACTTTTGGTATTGAGGCCTAATATAGGATTTTGCATCCATTTTAACACTTTTTTCAATCAAAATCATCTATGTGCACTTTAATTTCATTCTAGGAATCTGGAATCATGCAAATGTCAAAGTTAATTTTATCATTTGTCATTTAAGTAAGCCAATGGTCAATTAATTTCCACACTTGTCCATTCATGTTTGTCGGATTTTATTCAAATTTGTCTCAACCGGCGATCCGCTGCAGAATGTAATAATCAAATTTTAGTCTTTGTACAATCAATTTCAAGAGAATTTCATTCAAGCTCGTCGCTTAGACAAGTTATTATAACAAACACTTTTAAAATTTGAATAATGCTTGACAAAATTGATGGCAACATGACGAAATTGATTGGACAAAGTTGGAAAAAGGAATGACTATGGGATGTGCAAGTTTAAGAAGTTTCTGAACTAAATTGAATTTAAAAAGTATGAAATTGAATTAAAAAGGTGGTCAAATGGACGGGAAAACCTTAAAGGTAAAGACCAGTTATGGTCATGCGATTGCATTGTGAAAGAAACGTTGTGGAATCGATCAGAAAAGGTTGATCATCTAGCATCTGCAAGGTTCTGGAATCATCAAAATGATAAGAAATTTGGCCCATTCTTCGTAAAGTTACAATTAGCACTATACACAGAAAGATGTATATGGGACTACCCTATATCTCTCACAGACCATGAGAGAAACAAATTTACCAAATATATGAATTAGTAAGCGGTTTCCCGGCAAATTTTTTATCATCATGTAT